AACAAGCCATCCAACATCTCAAAGAAACATGGCCACTGAATCTTCTGTGTACTGTGTACTGTGTCATCAATTGTGTATTGTTCTGGTCGTCTTTTTTATCTCCTTATCTGTACCCCCTTCCATGTCTTGGATTGTGAGCCGCCCTGAGTCCCCTTGGGTAAAAGGGAGGCATATAAATGCAATTCAATTCAATTCTGGGCGTTTCAAAATGGCCAGCATTCGCTCAATATGTTTTCCAGTCACCACGGAAGAACGTTATTAACACATTCAATCCCTTCACTTTTCAGGTCTTCACAACTTCCTAGACCCACCAGTGGTAAAGTCCTATCTTAAATATTCCAGGCTTCCGGGCTACCCATACAAAGCAAAGCTTGCATCACCTTTGTCTGAGATGGTGCCAAACAAAATCATGTCATTCAGGATGAGCCCACCGTTCATTTTAAATTAAATTCCCCCGTTGAGGGTTGCAATGTGTCACGTAATTACAGAAATCACGTAAACCCTCGTGACTAAGCTCCATTTTAGAAGAGGGCAAAACAGGCATAAAGGTTTTCTTCCTCTTTAAACTGGATGTCTGCCTTGCATATCATACAGACTGTAGTTCTCTGTATTTAACAGGAATATTCTGTCGCAGATTTCATTTCAAAATACGCTATACATGAGTGTTTAAAGTAAGCATCTAAAATGAATTTTTAGGAGGAGTGAGGTCTGTTGAATAAGAGTTTAAAGAACGATCTTGGTTTGCCATCATAAGTCATCAAGCCACATGCTGGGTCAATCAGCATGTAGGAGGATACTGGGGAAAATACATGAGAAAATTTATGGTTTGTTGGTTCCCAAGTTTTCAGACAAGTGAACTGTTGCCAGATGTAAATATTTCCCATGAAGGATGTCTGTTATACAGCATTGTGTCTTCAAATCCATTGCCTTTAACTTTTCCCCTGAGAAGGACTGGAATTATGAAACAATAATCCTATTTTGGATCTGTAAACCCCCAGCCCTGGAGCTATGAAACGTCTCGGGTTGCTTCTGCCAACTGAACAAAGAATAAGTGGCAACAGCCCAAACTCCGAGCTATACTAATTAGGAAGTCCCAAGGATTCACCACCCCCAAAAAAGGAACATACGAACAATCCCCAACTCTTTTACGTTGTCACCCAGTTGATCAAAATAATTGGAGGGGGAACAAGAGTTACCTATAAACTCATCACTCCCATCTGTAAAGGTTAATATATTTTTTTTGTAATTATTGCAGATGGAAAATTCATCACCTACAAAAAATACTCAAGCACTCTGCAGTTTTAACTGCTTCTAAATACAGCTTTGATCCAAGCAATTCTAACACCTCATCATGAAAATTGTACCCACTGACTTATATTATACTTGTGGAAATGTCCAAGCACACAGAAATTGATATAGGCCACCACAGGAAACACTCTAAAATTCATCACGTCCGGTAAGAAAACGAAATGATGCTATATCACAACTTCAGAAGTTGTCCACAATTTTACGCTTGAATTTCTGAGTAACCTGAAGGGTGGGCTTCTTCAGTTCTCATCAATTCTTCATTAAACATTTACGAGCAGATAACTGGTCTTTTGTCCTCCGAGAAGACAAGCTGAACAGTTTGGTTGACTCATTAGGAAGAAATAAACCCAATGTCCCTGCACACAGAGAGAAATTCCTGGCTTGAACAATTTTTTTTCAAATGTCAGGATCATCACAGTCTCCTTTTGAAGGAATGAGCTACTATAGAAGGATCACCTGCTCACGGTTACTATAGCAACTGAAAACACTAGCCAAAAGTTTTCCCAGTTTGTTTGTTAAGCAGAAAGAGAGAAAGATTGGCATTTTCTCCTTCTCTTTATCACAGGGAATCAAGTACCATGCAAAACCAGCATAGCATCAAGCACTGTCAATACTCCCCTGTTTCTCAATGGGCTCATTGAGTGTCTGTGGGAAAGCACCTTGATCCCTTGCACAACCCAAGATTGCTCTTCCGATTCAAATACATACATACATACATACATACATGCATGCATGCATGCATGCATACATACAAACTATAATCAATTGTTCTGTAAGAGAAAGTGTTTCTCTTAAGGTCTACTTGCTTTTAACAACCTCCTAGAAAAATTGCCATTTTAGAACTGGAATCAATTGTGCAAGGGCATAAATGAAATGAACTGAATGAAGTTGTTTTAAACTTCTCTTGAAGAACATTTTAAGGTGTCACCTGATCCAAAACTACCAAACTGCACTATGATTGCTTACTGTGTCT